ATGATTTGTCCCCCGAAATTCTTCCCCCCAAATCCCCCTAATGGCCAAAACGACGTCGTTTTGGCCATTTTCTCTCTTTTTTTTTTATTTTTTCCTTCTTCCATTTTCGACCTGCAACACAGAAAATGGAGAGGGAGAGAAAGAGAGAAGAAGAGGGGAAGAGAGAAAGAGAGAAGAAGAGGGGAAGAGATCGTCGCCCAGCCTGTCGCCCATGTCCGATCGCCGCAGTAGCAGTTTCGCCGTCGCTTCCGGCCCGCCTCCGCCTCCGCCTCCTCCCACTGTTATGGCCCCCTCCAGTCCACTCCTTCTCCTCCTCCTCCTTCCTTCTCTTCTCCTTCTCTGCTTTTGAAAAAAAAAAAAAAAATTAGGGGGATTCGAGGGAGCTCGTTTTCGAGCTCCCTAGCACGGTCCAACTTTTCCTTATCCTTCTAGAATTTGAAAACTTAAGAACTTTAACTAGAAACTAAACTTCTAATGTCCTTAAACTCTTACATAAAAACTTAGACGGATCTCTCCCTAATTTTTTCTGTTTAAAAATAACATTCCATACACGGTCAACATCCTTGTGAGAGGATGAACAAATGATTATGGATGACAAAATAAGGGTGTCAATAAACTAAAGTGTAATGCAAAAAAAATAAAAAATAAAACTTCAATGCACAATACATAGAACAAAAAATGAAAAAAGATAACAAATACGACAAACACTATATTAGAAATACGATGCTACTAATAACATTCGAAATTCTTCCTTGGATCCTACATATTCATTATTTTTTTAATTACAATTTTATCATATTATGAAATTTTAATTTTACTCCAATTCTGAACCTCCCAAACCCTAACTCTAAATGCACCCCATCTTAGCCACCAGTTGCTAATACTACATTTGGTTACCCCTCTCCACCCACCTACGCCCCCCCTAATCCCACCACAACCCTTTTGTAACCCCTCTCGTTACTTATAGCCAGTTCTCACCCATCGACTCCACTTGGGGTGGTGGACGGAGGTAGAGAGGATGGTTGATGTTCATATAGTGGCTAAAGTAGGTGGCAGAGAGAGGATGGTTGATGTTCATAGTGGCTAAAGTAGGTGGTAGAGGTAGGATTATGATTTGAGGGATATTCGGAAAAAAAAAAAAATTTAAAATTTAAAATTAGTTGACAAAATAAAAGAATTATTAGTGTGAATGCTATTAACAGCAACCTAGAAATAATCCAATATTATAACAATAGCACACATGGCATACACAAGTAGTACACCTCAAAACAAAAATATAGATTACTATTCAATAAAATTATACTGGAAATTTATTTTAAAAAATGTGTTACATATTTAATTTAGGAATACGAATTTCTATAATTTCAAAATTTCATTCTTAATTACTTAGATAATATAAAAAAATTCAAAACTTTTAAGGGTGCAAATGCAATGCACCTACGCTCTCATTGGACTAATCATTAACACTAGGGGTGCTCAGGAAGATTGCCTGTCAAAATTGACAAATCTAACCCAACTCAATCGCTTTTGGACAGTTTCAATAGTATAGACGGACAAATGTGGATAGAGATTCTCCAAATCTACTTATGTTTAGACGATTGACAAATGGAAAGTCACCCGATTGAATATAATTGGCCAACCCTTCTAAAAAAAAAATGATGTTATACTTTTATAAAGTATGAAAGTTAGACCTTTATTTTTAAATAAATAAAAAAAAAGAATAATTCCTTTTTTTTTATTCAAATAAGGCTCAAACCAGTAGGGAAAAAAAAAACTTTTAAAATAGTTTGAAAAAAGGCCTAGAATAATAAAGTCCGAACCACCAAATCAATTTGTATCCACTTGCCAACCCGCATGGCCTGTTCAACCTGCATCCACTAACTAAGTAGACAAATGCAGATTGATTTTTTCCAATCTACCAAGTTCGGATGGATAGCGAATGGGAAGCCACCCTACTCAACCTGATTCACGAGTACCTTTAATTGGCACACATTGATAAAAGAAATTGAGTGATTATTTGTTGGTCTTGGAGTATTGCTCCACACCACTTATCACTTGATACTTGTCAAGTTGTTTCTCAAAATCCTAGCAGAAGGTGTACTAGTACCCATAACTTTAACGAATAAGTATCAAATTGGGACGCTATGTAAACAACAGTGTTACATCTACATAATTTCTCTTTCACAAATCTCATTGAATGGCGTGGTAAGGTTGACTGGAAGGTTTTGAAAAAAAGAAATAAGTGTAAGAGTATGAGTCATTAATTTGCTTTTTTCTCTTGCCACGTCATTTAGGGGGGTTTGTGGGGGAGAAATTGCGTGGATGAAACATTTTTGGGAGAATTACATCCCAATGGTACATAATTTTTTTTTTTACACAAACATGAAGAGATGCAAGCCACACTTGCAGCCAACAACTTTTTACTTACATCCATCCTAGAATTACTTATACTCTATATGTTTTTGTAATTTTTTTTCTCTGTCTCACTGTGTTATAATTTGCCAAATATTTTTCTTATGTAAATTTACTCTATGACCTCCACATAATTTTTTTTTGACAAAATCAAGATTAGTGCCATGTCACTATTAAATATTTATAAAATTTTGATGGAAGAGTGTATTTTCCGGCACCAAATCTTGCAACCCAACCCAACCCTGAAGAAATGCATCAAATGATGTACCAACTAGCAAGTACTGAGCTGTGGGCCTATCTACTGATGTGGGTGATCCTTAATTGGGCCAATGCAGAATCTATACTCCTCTTTGTGGGCCAATTATTTAGCAATAATTATTTTAAATTTATCTTGTATGGTTTACTATATTTCATTTTAAATTGTTACCTCGTCAAATTTCATATGTAAGGATTAATAATGTTTGGATAATTAACTTTTCACTATTAAATGATGTTTTTTAACATATTAATTAATATCGTCATTTGATGTGTTACAATGACGATCTCATTAAATTAACACTGTTGGTGACCCATTAGGTGTCCAAAATTTAGTAATCAATTTTTATCACCAATAAAAATGAGATTTTTTTATTTATCCATTATATTATATAAATTAAAAAAAATATGATTACCTTTTTTTTAAAATTTTTTGTAATAAACTTTTTTCACTTTGTGATGGTGATCTTTTCTTACTAAGTATCAAATCCAATAAATATTAGAATTATTTTTTCTTTTTCATTAAACTCTCCAAAATTATTAATTATTATTTTTATAATATATAAATCATCTAAAACAATAAAAATAAAATTATAAAAATAACGGTGGCAACTATACTTGGTGATTATTCAAATGAAGAAGATGTGTCAATTTGTCCAATTAATAAGGTAGATGACATACTATTTTTTCTTGTCTTGCTTCACTTAGGTTGTGTTTGATTGAAAGATTTTACAAGAGAAATGGAAAATGAAAAAAGAAATGCAATGTCACTTTTTGTTTGGTTATAATGGAAATCACACATGAAAAAAAAAGTAAAGAAAATGCAATCTGACTTTTTATCTTTTGAGTTCACGTAAGCTCTTTTCTTTCTCCATTTCCCAACTCAACATAGTTTGGAATTTGAATCCTACCAATTCTTTCTTCTTTTCTTTTCCTTTCTCTTTCCAGTTCCCTCATCAAATCCTCCAACCAAACACAACTTTAGTCTTGTTTGGTTTTCTCTCCTAAGTGAGGATAGTCGGGGTAGTGATGGATTTTACTTATAGACTTATGAAGTCAAAATTTATCCAGAAAAAGGAAATTAATGGTTAAAATTTATTTTATTCATAAATCTTATACTTTATCAATTTAATTTTCACCACACAAATATATTTTTACAAATTACGGGATGATAAATCTTGACTCATAGCATTTTCTACCCCATATCATTCTATCATTATATTTATTAAATATATATATAATTTAATTTTTTATTATATTAAAATACTAAACTAACATTTATTTTCACGTATTTATTTTTCATCTTAAATTATATGATTCCTATTAATTATAAAATATTATTCATGACATATTATATTATTTATGAATGAAAGTATCATCTAAATCATTGATATTTATTAAAATTGATCTGAGTATTTGAAATCTAATATACCCCTAATACATTTTATACATTTTTAAATACCATTCTATTTTATTATATAGGTGGATGATTTTTATTAATATTTTAATTCTTAAAATAAAAAATTAATTTATCCTGTCCACTTCCCCTCTGTCCATTTGCCCCGCATCCAAAATGATAAGGGCCGGGAATATGTTAAAATGTTGCCATCATAGTGCGACCTCAATTTGAAACAACCAAGCCGGACGGCCGTCGTTGAATCATGTGTAATGAACGGCTGATAAAAGATCTCAGTAGTTTCATCATAGAAAGGGTAGTAGTCCCACAGAATTCGGTCTCTCTAACTTTAAAAATTATCATATAGACGCACCTCATATTATTATAGGTATATATCATTGCCATTTTATTGATTACACATCACTATTTTATATTTTTCTACTATTTATTATATAAAATAAGGATAAATCACAAACAAATTCTTAAAATTTACTTAAATTTTAAATTACTCTTTATAATTTTAGAAATTATATTATGTATGTAATATTTTTAATTTCATAACAAATATTCTTTTTATTAATAGATTATAAAGTTAATTAATAATTTTTAATGATGTTAAAATTTTATTTCAATTAATAATTTAGATAATTTTACTATTTTATATCAAAATAGTTAAAAATTTTATTTTTTAAGTTAATTATGTTAAATAAAAAATTTTGACAAAAACAAATTTATAATCTTTTAAATTATAAAAAATAATTCGTATTTTAAATAAATTTGAGAAAATAAATTTATAATTTACTCATAAAACAATGACTATTACTTTGTGAACATACAACACAAGATAATTCCTCCTCCCAATCTCTCTCTATTTTGCTTTCAAAAGAACTTTCTAGTCTCCAGACAACAACTATTTATGTCCTTGGTTGAATCGAAACACACATTCCATTTCACACAAACAGAGCCAGAAAGAGAGAAAACAGAGGTTGAGAGAGAGAGAGAGAGAGGGAGAGAGAGGAGAGATTTGGAAAATGTCGTGGCAGACATACGTGGATGATCACCTGATGTGCGACATCGAGGGCAACCACCTCACCTCCGCCGCCATCCTCGGCCACGACGGCAGCGTCTGGGCTCAGAGCGCTTCTTTCCCCAAGGTTTCCATAGAGATCCGTTTTTCTAATTTATTATTTAATTATAATGTGTTTGATTTCGATTGCTTTTTCATCGATCTGTTCGTAAAAATGTTGATCGCCGATTGCCTTTGCTGATTTTATGAATTGTTGAGATTTCGATTAGATCCGATTGTTCATCTATTGAAAGCTGTAATGATTCTATGAAGCCTTTTTTGATGATTGGCTTTGGGATTTTCCTTATTTAATCATGAGATGTGAGATTTGATTTGTTTGGCTGATTAGAGCCGGTTCAGAGTGTTTGATTTTCATCTGCATTGTTATTCATTTTGCATTTCTATGAGTTTGGTCTGTTTTACCTTGGGAAGATCTCAGAATGGATCTCCTATTTTTTTTCATTTCAAGTGTTTACTTTTTAGGTCTGTTTAGAAATTAATCACAAAAAACATTTACACTATGATTGGGAACCTAGGAGAAAAAAGAAAAGTTGGATTACTTAAGTTATAAGAGAAAAGGAAAGAAAAGAAATGATAGTGATTTTTCTCATTTTTGTTTGGATAAGAAAGAAACAAAGGAAAAGAAATGATTGTGATTTCTTTCATTCTTGTTTGGCTAGATTTCATTAAGATTAGATTTCATTAAGAGAAAAGAACAGAAATTATTTTATGTTATATTACCAAAATAATCTTTTTATACTTTCAATTATTTTATTTCTTTTATTTTTATAAGGACAAAATTAGTATTATGAAAATAGTGGTTTCTTTTCTCTCTCAATCTCTTCACTTTTGGAAAGATTGAAAATGAGGTTAATAAGAGAAATGAGTTTTTCACAATTTCTTTCTATTTCTTTCCACTTAGGTTATTCAAACAAGTAAGAGATATATGTCTCTCCATTTCCTTTCTTTTCTCTCCAAATCACGCAATTCAAACATAGCGTTAAAATCTTAAATTGAGAAATGACTAGCCATGTTATTCATAAACATTGCTTTTTTCACCTCAAATTCTAGTTATCTATTATGTTTTGAAGTTTCCTCAACTTCATATATATGGCTTTTATTATTTACAGCTATGCCTCAATAGAATCTTACCTTTTGTGTTTCTTGCTAGATTTGATTTGATTTGATTGCCCCTTGTGCTGATTTTGTATTTTATAATTATTAATTTTTTGTAGTTTAAGCCCGAAGAGATCACTGGCATCATGAAAGATCTCGACGAACCTGGCTTTCTTGCTCCCACTGGACTTTACCTTGGCGGCACTAAGTACATGGTTATCCAAGGCGAGCCTGGTGCTGTGATTCGTGGAAAGAAGGTAATTTCATGATTTCATTATCCATATGTTATTCTTGTTATTCAGTTTGATTTCATGACCCTCATGGAATTACACTTTCATTTCAAAGAAAAGTCACAAATATGTCTGTGCTATGTTTTAATTATATATTGTTGTTTAATCTAATTTCTACGTTGCATAACCATTGTTCTGTTTTTACTCATTAATTTCATGATTTAGATCCATCTTTAACTTGCAGTTTTGAATTGATATTTGATTATTTATTTATTTATTTATTTGATTCTCTATTTCATGGTTTTATAATCTTGCCTCATTTCTTCTTTAAATTGCCCCCTTCTCTATTTGACAGTTGTTCTTCATGTTTCCTGCCACTACCTTCATGCATCATTCTTTTGATTTGAGTTTTGCGTCACTTTGAAGCAACACTTATTTGTATGCGTCTTTGATCACTTCACCTTTTGACTAAGAAACTTCAATTGTGGAACCCATTACTTGAATTTGTATCATTCCAGTCAAGGCCAATTTGTTTACTTTTTTAGTGGTATTATGGACCCAGCATGGCATGTGTATGGGAAGAATAATAGTAAGCCTCTGTGAGTTCACCCGAGGACCCATCTCCAACAGGCCTTAATAATAGTAGTTTGCTATTTAGTAGTACACAAACACATGGGCTTGGTTTCTTTTTGCTTTACTTTATCATGATTTTATAATTCAGGTGTCCCTACTGATTAGTTGTCTCTTCTTTACAACATTATCCATCGTGTTATTTCCAAGTACAAACACCGATGGAACCCCTGGCTCTAGCTGCTTTTCCATTTGTGCCTTAATGATGAAGTGGCAATAGTAATTAGTGCAAATTGTTCTTCAAGCCTCACCCAAAGTAAATTCTTCATCTAGCTCAATTTCCAATCCTTTGATGTTGTCTGAATTGTCCCCTTACATTCCTTGATATTATTTCTTAAGCGATCTAGTTCTGTTTGGTTGTCTAGAAACGGAACTTTCGATTTACCTAGTGGAAAATTGGAAATAGTTGATCCGGTTGAGTAGTCAATATGACGCAAATTTGTGGACTTCTTTTTTTATTATGACTAGAATGCTAAGCACACTAATGCGTGCATTGAACTGAATAGCAGTTTTTGGTTGGTTGATTTTACTTTTTGGTTCTTACCGAAACTGCTATGCAAAGGTAAATATTTGAGAAAATTTAATGTTGGAGTTATTTGGGAATAAAAATTGTGTGACAAAGCTTCAATGCTAGTGAGTTGTATGCATAAAATAGATAATTTTTCAGGTTACAGTTGATTGAATAGTGTCTGCGGCACAAAGTTCTTAAGCTTATGCATACATGCTACTGTTTCATTTTCTACTATGCAGGGCTCTGGTGGTGTCACTATAAAGAAAACTGGCCAAGCTTTGATCTTTGGCATCTATGATGAACCTGTGACTCCGGGTCAGTGTAACATGATTGTTGAGAGGATGGGAGATTACCTTGTTGATCAGGGACTGTAGGATGTCTCTACTCGAATTATTCAAAATCTCTTTTAATTTTTGGTTTTGGGCTTGCATCTTCTTCCTTCTATGGCCTTGAATTAGGCGCAGTGGAGTTTTTACAGAAAAATAACCGTGAGAACAGAAACCGTTTGTTTTGGCATTTTAGAGTCATTCTTCTTATTTCCTATTGGTTTCATTTTTTTGTTTTTGTTTTTTTGTTTGTGTATTTATTATTATTCTACTGTTTTAAATGCAACTGAATTTTTGAGATTTTGGTTGCCATCGGATTTCTTCCTCTTTATGATATAATTGTTTTGATTACATCTCTAATTGTAATTTCTGCACAGAATGGTTTCTGATGATGTTTTGCTTACTTCTGAGGGTTTGGCAAGTAATAAAACCATGCTCTAAACACACACACACACACACACACAAGCTTCATTATGGAAAACAACTGTGTTTTCAAAAAGAAAAAAATGTTGAAAAGTCCATTCTAAGGAGGGTACAAAATATTAGATTCAGATATTTTTTCGTTGAGGTCTATTTTTTGTAAAATAATTTGATAAAAAGTCTTTTTGTTTGTTTTGAATGACATTTTGTTTTTAATTTTTTTTTAATTTATCGGTTGATTTTTTTTGACTTTCTATTTGAATTTAAATGTATCTGTTCAAATTACGTTTCCGATGATGTTTTGCTTACTTTTGAGGGTTTAGCAAGTAATAAAACCATGTCCAAAACGCGCACGCTCACCCAAAAATAAAAATAAAAGAAGGCTTCATTATGGAAAACAATTGTGTTATTAATAAAAACAATGTTGAAAATTCTAATATAGGGAGGGTGTAAGGCGTATTAGGTTCAGTCGATATTTTTGTTAGTGAGAAGATTATTCTTTGTAAAATAGTTTGGTGAGAAGTCATTTTATTTGTTATGAAGAACATGTTTTTAATTTTATCTTTTAATTTATGTGTTAATTTTTTTTTTTACTATATGTTTAAATTTATACTTATGTGTTCAAATTATTTTTTATTTGTTGAAATTTATACCTATTTGTTCAATTTATTTTCTATCTGTTCAATTTTTTCCACTTATCTGTTCAAATATCTATCTAAATTTTATTATTTGTTTAATTCTATCTGTTGAAATACCAAACCAAACCAAATTATATAACCCCTATTTGTTGCAATATCAAGTCTCTATTTTTTCAAATTTTGAACATATCTATCTTATTATCTATTCAAACCAACCGCTATTTGTTGTAATATCAAGTCTCTATTTTTTCAAATTTTGAACATATCTATCTTATTATCTATTCAAAATTTGAATAGATCTGTTTCATCATCATCATCATTAACAACAATAGATAGATCATATAACAAAGAATGAGTTGTTGAAATACAAAGCTATTTGTTCAAATCTTGTGATTTGTTGAATTTGAAATACAAAGATTGGAGGATTTGGTAATGTCTTGTGTACTTGGGAAACAAAACCCATTTCTTTCATACCAAACAAAGTTATTATCTGTTGAAATCAAATATAGATCTTTTTATTACCTTCTCTCTCTTTTCCATTTTCTTTAATCTCCCTCTATTTTTCTTTACAAATCTCTCAATCTCACACATAGGAACACTTGTAATTCTAGAGAGAGAGAGAGAGAGAGAGAGAATGGAGAGAAAGAAGGATAATAATAACTTGATTTTTGATATAGTCGGCAAAGGTGTTGTAGTCGGAGTAGAGGGCAAGATCGGTGAACCCTAAGTCCTCGCACTCTTTGGTGCTCAGCTGCTCTGATCTTGAACCTAAATGTCATGACTCGAACTCGTCCCTATAGATTAAGCTTATAACTGGTCAGTAATCATGAGATTACCTTTAGTTCCACACAAGATTAAAGATATCTTAATAATAATAAAGGGGCTTAAGCGGAAGTAGACTTAGAAAATTTTGTCCAATGAGCTGTGCTTGTATGGCATATCAAAAACATTTCCTTACATGTAATAATAATTCACACCATGAACCAAAATAAACATCTTGTACATCCAAGATCATACAAGCATATGGCCAGCCAAACAAAAAGTTTATATACATAGGTGATCCAACGGATCCACCAAGATAGCAACAGAGTAAACCAAAGAACAAAAAGCGATTTCTCATGCGTGAGACATCCGGGTTGACTTCACAAAACTTGGACTTCTCTTACAATCTTCACTGAGGTTGGGGTTGGACATCTTTTTGCGTACCTATATACATATAAATAAGAGTGAGCTAACGCCTAGTGAATAATATTAAAGTAAAGGGGTTGAATGAATGAGATTCATATAAAGTCAAATTAAGTACATTGAACTCGTGAATTTCATATACAAACGGCCTTAGGCCTATTTTATGATTTTGTTGTACGTGTCAAACGGCCTTGGGCCCATTTTAGATCTTTATCAAATATATCAGACGGCCTCAAGCCCATTGCATAGCTTTGTCAAGTTTATCAGATGGCCTCGGGCCCAATTCATGTCAAACAGCCTCGGGTCCATTATTTCCCATACTCACACTTACGTGCATTTCATATTCATGATCATGATCATGGTCACATTTTTATTCAAACGGCCGTTGGCCTATTACATTCATATTCAAACGGCTTTTAGCCCATCAAAATATTTAAATGTATCAAACGGCCCCAGGCCCAATTCTCACATATCAAACGACTTTAGACCTAATTCATATTCTTCGTAAAGCCTTATACAAACATTAGGCATATCGAATATTCATTCACTATTCAAATAAACAAATCCATAAAACTTGTACAGAAGTAGCATTTGGAAAATAGCATACTTGAAAGTATCTTTACTAAAATATTACTCACAGTGTTCTGTCGATGGATTTGCTCTCGTGCTTGACCCTACACATTTTATAACACATTGAGTCATAAACAATTCAATCTATTCTTAACTTATTTATTTCTCTTAAGCCTCTTTCTTATTCCTTTAGTTTATTTACGATTTCAATGCATGCCTAAGAGTGCTTAGAAATGAAAGAGAACGAAAAATGAAACATAAAACAACTTTTCAAAATTTCTGAAACAGGACTCTCCGCTTGAGCGGTCTGTCAACTCTGTAAAAGTACTGGTGCATGAATTTTATGCTCGAGCGAGACTTCTGAGGCTCGAGCGAGAAGTCTTACAAAACAGGGTTCGCTCGAGTGTAAGATTTGCCGTTCGAGCCACTGTGCAAATCTTTGCAAAACTTCTGGGAGCTTAATTTTCACGCTCGAGCAAGACTTTCTTCGCTCGAGTGGACATGTCGAATTCTGGAATTTCCAGAATTCTGTTTGAAGTTCAAATCACATATCCAAAGGTCCAATTCCATGCTAAACTCACTCAAATATGCAAAAATACTCCCAAATACATATATTTGAAGATAACTTCAATTCTAGATCAAAATTCCATGAGTTCATCAAATTTCAAACCATGAACTTCATATATATATAATCCATGTTTTGTGTCTTGCATAGACAAGCTTCAAGGCTTGATATTAAACTTCAATGCATGAACATTCTTACATGCATGTGTCAAACAATCCTCAATATAACACGATCAACATGCTTTACATTCAAATTTGCAAAATTATGGCCAATTCTTACATGCATGTATCTAATGATCTCAAGTTTACCAAGCTTAGCTTAATTCATGTATTTATATATACTTTGAATTCACTTAGTTATGAACTTAAACTCATGAATTTGAGTTCAATTACTCACCTAGAAGCTTCAACCCTTCCAATTATGGCTAATTCTTGAGCCTAGTTTCCAAATTCTCAAGCTTTTAGTTCACACCTTCAAGTTTGTGCTCCCTCTCTCTCTACAATCGTCTCTCTCTCTCTAGAGTATATTTTCAGCTAAGTTATGAAATGAGCTCAAAAAGAATGAGCATGAGTGTAAATAGGTTCTTATATATGCTTGCCTAATCAAATTTGATTAAGGCTAAGTAATTATGCTTAATTTAATCAACTCAATCTAATTATTTTGATCCGAATCAAATTTTAATCAAATCTCACCATAGGCTCTAAAAATCATGCTAATTACAATGGTACAGACAATTTCAATTTCTGTAGCCTCTACGGTGTTCAATTTTTGAATTATAACAGTAAATTGGATAGATTTTCCTACGCTGAACAGATATAGATTAAAAAACATAATTAATCACATAATTATCACCCAAAATCATATTAAGTACATATTCACAATCATACTTAAGGTTAATTAACATAACATAGAATAGGGTTATTACACTAAAGGTATTGCAAGCACTACTACCACGTAGATCAACAACATCATATTTATGTCGGGGAGCAGAGATCCGTGATCAAAGGAGTCGTCTACGTTGGGGATCAGAGATCCACGGACCACCGCCAATCGCCACCACAACTACCACCATCTACATTCTTTCTTTACTCTATCTCTGGAATCTCCCACCATCATTGTTGGTAGCAAAGGGTGTAGTGGTGTCGGTGCCTTTTGATCGAATCAGTCTAGCCAAGCCAAGCTCGTCGATGCCGACCTCGACTCAGATGGTAGCGGCGGCGAGATAGAGGTTTAAGATCTGATCTGAGGTCTAAGAGGTCCGAGGTCTGAGATCTACTACAACCATCAGTACTGTCACTCGACGATTTGTGATCGATGATCTTCATGTTAGGAAAATGTCTTTTCTTAACCAGGATCGATGAGACATGAAATAACAAATAAGAAAGATAAAACAAATTAAACAAATCACACACACACAAGAACACAAGGATTTACGTGGTTCACCCCAGAATAGGGCTATGTCCATAGTTGCTACAGTTTTCACTATGATCAGAAAGCAATATAACTCTCTTGACCTAAAAGAGGCCTCTTCATCTATTTATAAATATAGAATTAAGGCAATGTAGAAGCAAGAGGGAAATTACTTAAGTACCCAAAAAAATTTGGCCAGGGACCCTCAAATCCTTTATTGGACCCAGGGTTGAGTGAACAGTACTTATTAGGGTCCATAGACCCAACAAGCTCCCACTTAAAACCTGATAACATAAGCTCTCCATCATCTTCATTACATAGAGGAATGCTGCAACAATTTGATCTTCTTTCATCAACCTTGAAGGCCAATTGAAGTTGCACACAACTTTAGTTTGTCAATGGTGACTGCCTTGGTCAAAATATCTGCTGGATTCTCATTGCCAAAATATTTGCTGGATTCTCACTGCCACGAATCTTCTCAAGAGATAAGACTCCACCATCTACAAGTGAACAAATGAAATGGT